TATATATATATATAAATTATTTATATATTACTTACAGAATATATTGTTTATTCTTAACTATATAAAGAAAAAATCAGGAATATGGCCTGGCTGCAGCTTTTGTGTATGTACTGTATATATTACTAACTTAGTGAACAAATGCTCATGTAGACAGACGTCAATGTTGCCTTTTTAAATACAGCACTGCTTCAATGCACAAAAGCGCAAAGGCTGAGTTGGACCCACTTTGCTCGCCATGGGAACACATCTCAGTGGGTCCTTGTGCCCAAAGAAACTCAATGCAAAGCAGGTCAAGGACTGTCATCCGCACAACAACCTTGAAGTAATTGGTAATCTGCTGACCTGCAGGAAGACAATTCTCATCAATACATGAGCTAAGAGAGCTAGCAAATGAAACACTGCAGACTGGACCATGTATGCAGATCATGAGTTCTCATTCCACTTTGACTTCACTTACTACATGCTTGTTCCAGTTTAACATCTTCGCAAGTATTTGCACCATTGTGGAAAGATTGTGTAGCTACTGTAGATTGCTGCTATGAAATCGATAGTGTCACATGGGCTTTACACCTTGTATATGCCTCATATGCAGGCTTATTGTCATCTTTATCCTTGCTTCTCTACTTCATAAATCATTAACCCAGAACAAGAATGTGCAAATTATTTGTCTGGACACCTGGTATGTGCATGCTTGTTCCAGGTCAGTGACTCATCTGGTGGAGAGGAAACCATAAAAATGACAGTCCTGGAGGACAGACCATCAAAGCGAAGTCAGCAATACCCTCTCCCATATTCCTGTCATGAAGGTGACTTGCTATAGCAAAATATGAGTCTGTTTCTGCAGTGACAGAAATGACTGAAATGACTAAGAGAGAGTTCTGTAATAGGCATCTGCATCCTATTAGTCATGTATTGTACTACATTAATAATTTTCAGATATTGTTCAATTGTAAGCCAAATTCCTGCCAGGAAGGAGTCATTGTTTCTAACTTAGGATTTTCTGTAATACAATGTAACAATGACCAGCCAAGTACAGTGACCTAACATCCAATCAGAAATGATCTTTCATCTTCCAACTAAGTGGTTGCACCAAAGCTGCCCATGGACTGGTAAGTTATAGGATGGAGCGATAATGGCATGTCTATGGATCCTGCACACAATCATCGGCTGATTGCTCCCAAGGGTGACAATTAGGGATGCCCCAATACTGTTTTTTCGGTATCAAGGATGAGTACCAATATCTTGCTGTCAGTACTCACCGATACTGGCGCTTCTGCTGGCATGGAGCCAGCTTCCTGGTCAATCAGGAAGCCGAGCAGCAGGTATTGACCCGGCTCCATGCTGATTGGCCAAAAAGCCGGCTCCACCGCCAATCAGCATTCAGCAGTCTGTTTAGCAAGCTCGATGCTGATTGGCCAGAAAGCTGGCTTCCCAGCCAATCAGCAGAGAACCAGCTGTTCAGCCAGCTTGATGCTGATTGCCCGGGAAGCCGGCTTCACAGCCACTCAGCATAGAATCGGTTGTTCGGCGGGCTCGATGCTGATTGGCCGGGAAGCAAGCTTCACAGCCCTTCAGCATGTAGCTGGCTTCCTGGCCAATCAGGAAGCTGGGAGGCGGGTCATTACTCGCCGCCTGGCTTCTTGATTGCCCAGGAAGCCGGCTCCATGTTCCCTTATAGCACTGCCGGTCAGAGGAAATCTTCCTCCAACTGGAAGTTCCGGTATCGAGAAAGGTATCGGAGCAAATAGGTATCGGCACTGATACTAGTATCGGTATCGGTGCATACCTAGGTACAATCAATTATACAGGTTGGAGTTAGAGAACCTCTCCTGGTTATTTCTGGACCCCTGTGGTAAGTGATGTTGGAAGCATCTGCCATCAGCACTTTCCTTGCCCCCTTCTCCCATCCAATCTGATATAAGCTGAAGCACATCCTATGCTTTTGTCAAATCTTCATTGAATCTTATGTGTATAGACTGTCTATGTTTCTAAATTGCATTTGCTATGAGTTAATGGTTCCTGCTACTGTGTGTCTATGTTTTTATTAGGATCCCGTTCACCACTACAACAGCTGTAATCTCTGAGCGAGCAAAAAATGAGGATTCTCTTTCACGCTACAAACTGCTGATTTGCATAAACACACCTCTCAGTATCTGGGACACGCCTACCAGTGTTTTAGTGACACCTCCCCAGGTCTCTGAGACATGCCTTTACACACTGTGTCACTCCCCAATATATGCAAGACACAATCCTGAAACATGAGCTACTTTCTCCGAGATAGCATGCTACAGCTGTGAGGGTGTCTAGAGTTCCAGCTCCTCCACCTGCTTCCTTATTTCTTTCAGCTTCTTTCTTCCTTTTTTTTATCTTCTGTAACATTTGTGGGATTTATAATATTGTTCAAGCCTGAAAACTGGTGTACTTAATGTGTATGTAAATCCAAAATCTATTTTTCGGTATGTTTGGCATCTTGCCTTACTGTATACAGATTCCCTAAGCAAATCATTTTTTTTTTTAAATCTGTTGCAAAGTTTCCTATCTGGAGATCCTGCCAGTAGCAGCATTTCCTGTTATCAGCTGATCTGATAGGCAGCCCAATAGCCAAGGGAAGAAACAAGCATGGCAGACTGACAACGCTGCTGCTAATTGCAAGGCAGTGTCATAAGCTGGCCATACACTTTACAACCATTGCAAGACTTTCGTCTTACGATGGTTGTAAGCTAATTAAAAGCTTGTACGATCTGCCCATCTTGGACAGGCAGATGGTACTTGCGATCATCGCATCCCTTCCTGCTGAGGGGAGGGATTCTGATGACTGCAATGCTGAGCGGGCAGTGTGCGCTTGCTCACACCGGCCCGTGCGACATTTGTCTTACGAGCACGCCACAAACCCGCCGAAAATCTTACGATTTTTAGCTGGTTTTCCAACATGCTCGTAAGACGTGCGACCGTACAGTAGGAACGGTCGCACGCCTTCCATACACCTGCCGATAATCGTACGATAATCGGCAGGTGTATGGCCACCTTTAGAGTTGTCAGCCTGCCTTTGCATCTTCACTTGGCTGTTGGGCTGTCTATTAGATCTGTGCATGCCTTTTGCAGACCTAGTAGGCAGCCCAAAGCCAAATGAAAAAGCAAGCACGGTAGGCTGACAACGCTGCTGCTAATTGCAAGGCAGTGGCTTAGGGTTGTCAGCCTGCCATGTGTGCATCTTCTCTTGGCTGTGAGGCTGCCTATTAGATCTGTGCATGTCTTTTGCAGACCAGGTAGGCAGACCAACAACCAATTGAAGGAACATGCATGGCAGGCTAATCAGTGCATGGCTAGCCAAATTCATACAGGTCTCCTTCCTACCCAGGGCCATACCTATAATGAGGCAGTTGCCTCATGCAGGTTCTCATTGGGTCCCATGAGGGCATCTCATTGGGTCCGTGCCCTTTCAGGCCAGATTGTTTCAGGTTGCTAGAGCTCTTAGTGACCTGTGATGCTCTTTCCGTTGTCCCATCCAGCTCACTGACATCACTTGTTAGCAAGACCTAAGTGGAACGCTCCGGCTGCCGTCCCACCCAGCTTCTAGCAATAAGTGATGTCAGTAAGCTGAGTGGGACGCCAGACCGAGCCGGAGCCAGACATACCGTGCATCACCCCTTCCATGATAACGTGCAACACCGACACCCCCCCCCCCCCACCTGAACCTGTTCACCACG